CCCTCTACTCAGCTCTGGTGAGGCMGCACCTGGAGTACTGGGTCATCTGGCTGCCACCCTGTGCCCCATGCTCTGGGTGTCCCTGCTGGAGCAGGGGGTTGGACTAGATGATCTCTAGAGGTCCCTTCCAACCTCTACCATCCTGAGGTACTCTGTAATTCTGAAATAGGGGGTGCCATCATCCAAGATACTCTACACAGCGATTGCCTGGAACACGTTCCTGCTCCGAGGGTATAATTGCCTCTAAAGAAATAGAGAAGATTTTCTTCTTTTTCCCCATTGTGGCTGGTTGAAAGGTTATTCCTTGTGTCTTGCTGAATAATTCTACCTGATATATTCTTTATGTTTTGTAAAACTCCTTTTGGCACTTGTTTAACGTTTTCAGTGCTTACCCAAGAGGTATAAATTTATAAAGTTTTATTTTTCAAGCCTTCTGTGGTATGGAGGTCTTTGGGATTAGAGCAATTGGCCTCAGGAGTGGCACTCACATAGCACTTGTTTCATATCGGCACGTTGAGTTGGAGCCCCAGGTCTGTTGTGTGGGAATCGTGGCAGCTCTTGGAGCTTTAGTCTCTGTTCCCAGTCTGGTGGGGTGTTATGCTTGGAAGCAGCCCAGGCTGAAGGCTGCCAGAGCCAAGAAGAAAAGAGAAATTCTACCCTTACCTTTCACTGTTCCTGTAAGGAGCAGCAGCTATCGACAAGTCCATGCAGCTGCTTTAGAAGTTGTGGGCTATACAGGCAATCTTTGTTAAAGAAATGAAGAACAAGTGGCTGGGTAGAAAATTAAATGTGAAATTACAGATTTTTCCATGATGTTGAAGTTCATTTTGAAGAGTATTAAAAATGGTGATGCACCTTTTTATTTCTCCATTCCTCTCTTCCCTCTTCAAGACCCAGAGGGTTTAATACGAGCTGGAGTGGAAAGGCGCTGAACTCTTATTTTGAGTCATCTTGTCTGCCTCCCTGCTCAGTAGGGAGGAGATTTTGGTTTGTTTCTTAATCACCATTCTTGTAAAAGAGCTTTTTCTTTTCTTCAGACTAACCTTGTTGAGCAATATCAGGGGACTTTTTTTTTTTTTCTTTTTGAGTGATTCCTGCCTGCACATTTAAAAATCAAACACAAGCAATCACAATCTTTCTCCTTACTTGAAACCATAACATTTTTTTGACAAGAAGGGCCTTTAAAGAAGTGCCCCGTAATTTATGGTGGGTTGCTTTGTACTTTGTTTCTGTAACCTATCACATTACATTTCCTGTGTGTTAAGTATGTATGTATTATGAGCTCTTAAAAGCAAATATGCCAGAAGAAAGGAATTCAGTAAATGAATAAAACATTCTTGGGCAGCCCAAGTGGCAGTTTAATAGTGYATCCATTGGGACTCTCAAATAATGTAATGATGATGGTCACGTAAATATATGGATAGATGAATAACTTCAATGCAGAGGTTGTTACAATGTTATGTGTCACATGAAATAAAATCAAAATTTGAAAGTGCTGCTTGACATGAACATCCATTTTTTTTTCCAGGGCCAACATTGAAAATATACCTAAAAATACACTAAGTGGTGTGTTTATGTGTACGTAACTTAAACACGTACATGCACATGCATGCAAACACACATGTTTATGCATATAACATATGGTATACATATAACATACAATCTTCCTAGGTTAAATTTAGTATTTTTGGACTGATCCTGATTGCACCGAGCCATGAAAACTTCATGGAATTTATTGAAGTGATTGGATTTACAGTGCTGTGTTTGACATTAGGTGTTGGATCTAGTTTTCTCTAAGAATAAATGCATAAATGGTAAGTGAAGCTAAGTTTGTCATGTTATTTTGCCTGGGTTAGACACAGCTTTTTCATTAGGTTTTCATAGGTTCTCATAATAACATAGCTTCATAAATACCCAATTTGATGCCTGTTTGCCACTGCAGAGTTTGTAACCTTGTGCATGGCTAACCTGAAGGTAAAGTTTTACATAATTTTCACTTGTAGCGATGAGTTTCATAGGAAAAAACAATTTCAGATAGTAGAGGAGCTGGAAACCTGCTGGTAATGACCACTGGTGAGAATATCAATGGCAGAGAGGAGCCAACTTAGGCTGTGGCAAGGACAGGAGGAACAAGGTCACCAAACATGATGTAAAGGATAATACTGTTCCTTTCCTTAATCTAAAGAGACCTATTGCAAGGAAGCTGCAGGTCTGTGATTAAGCTTAAGATTAAGAGTCTCTGGTTCACCTGAAGTACAGCATCAATCTCCATCATCAGCTAGAAAAAATCCTCCTCCGCAGAGGCTCAAGTGGAGGATGCTGATGTGCCCTGGGGACACAGGCAGCAGCTCGCGTTCTTCTCTGTGGAGTATTTAAAAATGCTGTATTGCAGAAGAGGCCCAGCTGCTGAATTTGGTCTTTGGTTGGTGTCTCTCACTAACATTTGTAGATCCCTGTAGCTGGCCTGTCCGCGGCCACGTACTGGGCAGCACTTGCCCGGGCATCATCCTCCAGGCGTGGCCATTTTTGATGGCTGTGCCCTCTGTGGCCAACACAAAGGCCCAGGAGAAGAGGGGGCTTCATTCAGGTGCTGCTGAATTAAACCTGTGATTGGTTGTGGTATTTATGTGGAAAAATAAATTGTCACGGTGCACATTTTTCAGTAGAGGGAAATGGAAACAAAACCAAACAGCCTTTCACCAAAATTTCCTCCTTGTTCGGATCAATCGGGGATCAATCTCAGTCAACAGGACTCTTGCATACCCAGAGCATGTTTGGAAACTGTCATCTTATGTCAATAAGCTGTGAGTTAAAATCCTTGTTTGTCTTATATGACTTGTGTGGTATATACAGAACAATCAGATTGGTGTATTGGGACAAGGAAGCGTCACTATGAGGATTTGCTGGTTATTCAAGTATGAGAGTCCAGGAGATGATATCATCTACTTTTATTTTCTTTTTAAAGATTTTCCTTTTTTTTTTTTTTTAGTTCTTGAAATGCATAAGAAAATACAAAAGAACCAAAGTGTGGTTGRGGAAAGAGTTGCATGTGAAAATAAGTATATAGAAAGACAAGCATATTAACAAATACTTGGAAGAATGGATCAAACTGACTAATGGGTTCAGCAGTGCTCTATATTGACTGGGATCGGGAAGTTAAGTGTTTTTGTGAACATTATAACATCAATGCAATAAAYTGATTGTCATTAGTACTTAAAAGTGTGATAGTAATTCAGTTATGTTGGAAGTCATAACTAATATGAATTCATATTCGGTGRTTCTGTGACTCATATTCCAAAACTTGCATGCCATTATCTCCTAGGGGGTATTGAAATCATGCTGGAAATTTAAATTAACCCCTGTCATTGCTGACAACTTTTCCTCTTCTAGCTTCAAGAAAACTACCTTTTCAAGCATCTTCTAAATGACAGTGAGAACAATGTGGGTCTTTTAATAATTGCCCTTTAAAATTGATTTTTATCATTTTCACCCGTCGCAGTCAATGTACTGTCTAACAAAGAAGGGTATTCACACTCCCAAACTTTAAGCATCTAGGCAGTTTCCTCAGGCTCTTTCACTTTCAGGGGGAAAAATGGTATTTATCATCTTCTGAGTCATCTCCGGCCATCTCTGCCTGGTCTCTTTGCTCACTCTGTCTTCTTTTAACCTCYGCGCTTAGGTACCTGCAGTGAGGCACTGTGAATATTCCACATGCCTGTATGGAGGACCTCCAGGTCACCTCAGGTGGCTGGTTTTCGGTTGTACTGAGATGCTTTTGTTTATCATGCATCTTTGGAAACCAGGTGGAGGGTCCTTAGTGAGTTGAGTTGGTGGCAGGTGTGGGGTCATGCACGGGATGGGACAGGCGACAGGCAGTGGAGCTGAATTTATAGCCTGGTTCTCTCTGCAGATGCCAAAGTGGAAATTTGGTGCAAGCTGGAATTGACTTCATGTAAGCTGGAATGCTTTTAAGCAGTTGTTGGTCAGAACGGCCAGTTCGTATCAGGTCAGGCAGGCGGCAGGTTGGTGAAGACCTCTACCTTTTGTATAGTGAGATTTTGAATTCTGTAGAACAAATAATACGGAAAAAAAAAGCATTTGTCCTTATTGACCCTCTGTTACCCARTGTATTTCGTGGATAGTGGTGATTGTATACATATGCAAATGCAATATAATATCTATTCCAGGGCAGATTTAAATCTCATAGAAATTCTCAGCAAGGCCTAGAGTCCTCACCAGAGAACTTGTCAAGCAGTTTTATTTTCTTCATTATATGTTTTGTCTTGTGTCATATCTGTGTGTGTATATACATATGCATGTGCATATGCAATTGTATTCAAGTAGGCATCATTCTTTCTTAATTTTATTTTTGGGTGGTTATCTGGTAATGGCTGGCCAATACATGTTATGTACTGTTTCTTGATGGCTTGCATTTCAYTTATTATGTGTTCTTTCTCAACTGTTCATATTAAAACTTCATCATATTTGGCTATTAGTGTGTTGCACACATAACAGTAATCCTGTCTCCTTCCCAAAGACTGGAACTGAAAATGAGTGTTCCAGTAAAATCCAACATTAACAAGTTGAGACATAGTTGAAGCTACTGGTGAATAAAAACAATAATTCCTGTGTATTCATGCACTTATATGAGCTTAATCAAGTAGTGTGTGTTTGATTTTTTTTTTTTGGCCACTCTCATGTGATAATTATTTTGGTTAGTGCTCATGTATGTATAGGTGTGGTAGGATCACACAGTTTTTATTTAATATTTAAAAACAAGCACAGATGTAAAAATATAAYACGAATATGCACACTCATGCAGACACGTGTGTATAGGCACACACATATGTATAGTGTCCTCCCTGTTTTATTTGATGTACAGAGGCTATTATTGAGTATGTTTTATGTTTAATTATGGTTGAATAAGTGATTTTAAAATGGCTGTTTTCAGTACAGTTTTTATCTCTCGATTAACTTTGTCTTTTCTTTTCCCATCATAGGGTGAAAGAATGATGTGATGGAGGTGAATATGGGCTGCTGGTCAGGCACACGGCCACCTCCATCCTGCCATGTCCTTCTGGTTTTCAAGCTTCTGGCTGCCATCTGCCAGGTAGTTGAAGGGACGATTCCATTTGGCTTTCACTTCACACATTCCACTTACAATGCCACAGTGTACGAAAACTCAGCAGCCAGGACCTATGTCAACAGTCAAACAAGAATGGGCATTACCTTGGCTGACCTTTCGTGGGATATCAAATACCGGATAGTGTCTGGTGATGAAGAGGGCTTCTTTAAAGCAGAGGAAGTCGTCATTGCTGACTTTTGTTTCCTAAGAATAAGGACTAAAGGGGGGAATTCTGCTATATTGAACAGAGAAATCCAGGACARCTATTTATTGGTAGTGAAAGGGTCGGTCAGAGGAGAGGACTTGGAAGCATGGACAAAAGTGAACATCCAGGTGTTGGATATGAATGACTTAAGACCTTTGTTTTCACCAACCACATACTCTGTCACGATAGCAGAAAGCACTCCCTTAAGGACTAGCATTGCACAGGTGACCGCAACAGATGCGGATATTGGGTCCAATGGTGAATTTTATTACTACTTCAAAAACAAGGTTGATCTCTTTTCAGTTCATCCTACGAGCGGTGTTATCTCCTTAAGTGGCCGATTAAACTATGACGAGAAAAACAGATATGATCTCGAGATCTTGGCTGTGGACCGTGGGATGAAACTTTATGGAAACAATGGAGTAAGCAGTACTGCTAAGCTTTATGTTCACATTGAACGTATAAATGAGCACGCCCCAACTATAAATGTTGTAACCCACATTCCCTTCCCATCAGACAAGGAGCCTACCTATGCAGTTGTTAATGTTGATGACCTAGATGAAGGAGCCAATGGAGAAATTGAATCTGTTTCTATTGTGGCTGGGGATCCGCTGGAACAGTTCTTTCTGACTAAAGATGGCAAATGGATGAATGAATACAAAATAAAAGAAAGAAAACCTATTGATTGGGACAGTTCCCCATATGGTTATAATCTGACTCTCCAAGCAAAGGACAAAGGATCTCCTCAGAAATTTTCTGCAGTCAAACTGGTCCACATTGCTAGCCCCAAGAAAGAAAGCATCCCAGTGAAGTTTGAAAAGGAAGCATATGATGTCTCCATCAATGAATTTTCACCTCCTGGTGTGGTGGTTGCACTAGTCAAGCTCATACCTGAACCACAGGGTGTGGAATACAGATTATCTCCTAGTGAGGATGCTGAGTGTTTTAAGATCAATCCTAAAACAGGTCTTATCAGTACTGCTTGTTCTTTGAAAATCATTGAGAAGGACCTCTACGAATTAGAAGTGTCCATAAACAAAGGTAGCAATTTGAAAGCACGTGTTACTGTGAGGTTAGAAGATGCCAATGATCACACTCCAGAGTTCCAGCAGCCTTCGTACAGCTCGTTCATCAACGAAAGTGTCCCTGTGGGTTCTAGCGTTTTGGTCATTTCAGCAGTTGATAAAGATAGGGGAGAAAACGGATACATAACATACAGCATTGCCAGTCTGAATTCACTACCGTTTACAATAAATCAGTTTACAGGCATTATCACCACATCTGAAGAACTGGATTTTGAGTCCTCACCAGAAAGCTACCGGTTCATAGTGAGGGCTTCCGACTGGGGTTCTCCCTACCGTCACGAAAGTGAGGTGAATGTGACTATATACATAGGCAATGTCAATGATAACAAACCCCTCTTTGAGAAAGTAGCATGTCAGGGAGTGATTTCATCTGACTTTCCTGTTGGTGGTCACATCACGGCTGTTTCTGCCATAGACATAGATGAGTTGGAGCTTGTGAAGTACAAAATAATCTCTGGAAATGAACTTGGAATTTTTTATTTAAATCCAGATTCTGGTGTTCTGCAACTTAAAAAGTCTCTAATCAACTCTGGCATAAAGAACAACAATTTTGGCCTTAAGATAACAGCTACTGATGGAGAGAACTTTGCTGATGCTATGTTTGTTAATATTTCAGTGGTTCATGGAAAGGTGTCCTCAAAGACTTTTAGCTGTAGAGAGACTAGAGTTGCTCAGAAGCTAGCAGAAAAATTGCTCAAAAAGGCAAAAGCTAATGTGAAGCTGAATTTGGAAGATGGCTTTCTTGATTTTTACTCAGTGAACAGGCAGGCTCCCCATTTTGACAAATCCTTCCCTACTGATGTAGCTGTCTCAGAGGATCTACCTGTTGGTGCCACCATCCTCAGGATAAAAGCCTATGATGCAGATTCAGGCTTTAATGGGAAGGTAGTCTATACAATTTCTGATGGTAATACGGATAGTTGTTTTGACATTGACATGGAGACAGGGATACTTAAAGTTCTTATGCCCTTAGACCGTGAAAAAACAGATCTCTATCTCCTTAATATTACAATTTATGATTTAGGAAATCCACAAAAATCTGCATGGCGACTGTTGACTGTTACTGTAGAGGATGCAAATGATAACAAGCCTGTTTTTCTGCAGGACAGCTATTCAGTTAACATTTTAGAAAGCACAAGTCTTGGTACAGAGATTATTCAAGTAGAAGCCAGAGACAAAGATCTAGGATCCAACGGGGAAGTGATTTACTCGGTGTTGACAGACACTCAGCAATTTGCCATCAACAGTTCTACGGGGTTGGTGTATGTGACTGACCAGCTAGACCGGGAAACAAAAGCAAACTACACGCTTAAGATAGAGGCAAGGGACAAAGCAGATAATGGCCACCAGCAGTTCTCTGTGGTGCCCCTGAAGGTTTTTTTAGATGATGTCAAYGATTGTTCTCCAGCCTTTATACCATCTAGTTACAACGTGAAGGTCCTCGAAGATCTTCCCGTTGGCACCGTGATCGCTTGGCTGGAAACTCACGATCCAGACCTCGGTTTGGGAGGTCAAGTCCGCTACTCGCTGGTGAACGATTACAACGGGCGGTTCGAGATAGACAAAGCGAGTGGCGCCATCCGCTTGAACAAAGAGCTGGACTATGAGAAGCAGCAGTTCTACAACCTCACGGTGCGCGCCAAGGACAAGGGGCGTCCGGTGTCTCTTTCCTCTGTTTCTTTTGTGGAAGTTGAAGTGGTGGATGTTAATGAAAACCTCTATACGCCCTATTTTCCTGACTTTGCAATCATTGGATCTGTAAAGGAAAACTCCCGTGTTGGCACAAGTGTTTTGCAAGTTGTTGCTCGGGATGAAGACTCCGGAAGGGATGGAGAGATCCAGTATTCCATCAGGGATGGCAGTGGCCTGGGCAGATTTAGCATAGATGAAGAAACTGGTAAGTCTCCTTTCCTACTCTTTTTTTTCTCCCTCATAGAGCTTCTTGTAAAAGTAAAGCTTAGGCATCATTATTTTCCACCCATAATGGAAGAAGTTCCATTCCTCATAACAGGAAAGAGAAAATTATCAATTTTTCAGGCACTGCAATGACATGATTTAATTACCTGACTACATTCATCACACCGTGGGTGTGAAATAATACACATTACTTTACAGTAGCTATGTGATGACTCCATTTAAAAAGCAGTGATACTTATGTAATGACTCTATTCCAACCTCTGTTTTATTTGTTGGTAGCTGTAAATTGCTCAGGTCACTTCCACAGAGTGCTGTAATGCTCATGACCTTGAATGCAATGTTAAATCCAATGAAAGTAAATAAGGAGCATGAAATAMGAATTATTTTGCCCTGTAACATATTCGTGGTCTTGTTCTTAGAGTCAGCAAGAGTGATTTTTCATAGGAGTTAATAGTTTGAAGTGACATGACATCCTGTATAATGGCCTTTCCTTTGGTCTGCGTTGCACAGCAGTGTAGGAATGTGTGTGTAAATGTATAAATATAGAAAAAAGTTGCATTCAGTCAGTGTTTGATGGCAGCAGTACCAGAAACATTAATGTTAGAAATTATTATTAGGAATTACTAGAAAATGTCAACAGATGGAATATTTTTAAAATGTTTAACTTTGCTACTACCCCATCCTACTGCAAAACATGGAAAATACCAAATATAGAGGCTTGTAGTAGGAAAGCAGTCTACAAGCTGGCTGTTTAAGTGTCTGATAGTTGTTGGGGATAATAGTGCAGCTGTGGTACTAGAAGAAGTGAGGAAATTACAAAATATTAGTCAACAACTTAAAGAAATTATATTAAGTGTGTTGGGTTTACTGTGGTTTAAGTTGACTTTGTAAGTCTCTTTCTGAAAAGCTTAATTGAGAAAGTGGTATTAGAGAATGCAATTAAAATGTATACTTTGGCAAATTCCGACTATTTAATCAAATGTCAGCGTTCTAAACGGAACCTTATGGAAAGCAGCCGTGGATGGAGCCTGCTTGAGTGTAGGCGGTGGAAATATTTTCACTCTATTTGTGTGTCGTCTCTGTGCCGCAGCTGTGCCCAGATGAGACGTTTCAAGCCTTGTGTCCAGAAACGTCAAACTTGAGTGTCAGAAGTCAAGAGGGCGCCTACTCTAATTTCCAGCAATGTTGAGGACTCGCATATCCTGCATGTTGAAGTAGCTGAAGGCAYTCGGGCCACGTTATTTAGGCAGCCGAACGTGAAGTTCAGTTATAAGCTCCAGGGTTGGAAGATGTTGGCCTGGGTTCTTACTGAGCTGAGGAGAATTCAGCTGAAYGGGTCCTTGAAAGACAAGGGGAGGCTGGTCCTGATGCTGCAGAGTTCTGAAAATCTCGGGATTTGGCTTTACTGAGCTGAGAGGATGCTTAGGGAGCAGTGCCCAGGCGACTGAGTTAGTGCATGACGCTGATAAATGAACCAAGGTTTTTGCCTTGTGTCTGGACTGATTAAGGTGGTATCCTATGATAAATTAGGACTGCTGTTCAATAAAACATAAAGTGTGTTTTGAGATCCCTGGGAATGGTACTCAATATTCCCCATGAAGAACCTGCTTAGTTGTTTTTCTAAATTGAGATCTAATTCAGGGGGGAAAGAAAAGTTTTAAAAGGTGAATATTTGTGCCTTTCACTCTTTGGTAAGTATTTCCATGAAAATGGAATAAAACCCTGTAAACTGTGCTAAGTTGACTTTTGGGACTAAACTGTCCCAAAAGATTGGGACAGTCATTAAAAGATAGTATTTTTGATTTCTTTGATATTTTTTCTTTTTTTTTTTTCTTTTTTTTTTCCCCCCAAATGAGTGAGGAAAACAACTGGCTGATACAACTCAAGCTTTCTTGAAGCCTTCTTCTTAGAGCCCTTGGTTGCTTCATTGCAGACACGGTTATCTGGACAGCCAGAAGCGAAGATTTAGGAGCTGCTCTGCGTTGCGCTGTTGTAACCTGAGTGCAAAAACTTGACCCGCCGTGTCAAAGAGGACAAAACATTAATACTCTGCCATTGAACTAGTGGCAACTTAAACGCTGCTGAATGATGAATCAGCTTTCCAGCTGTAGAAGAGAGCTCTCCAGTCACATATTGAATTAATTTACAAAGAGATAGCTGTTTATTTACTTTCAGGGCAGTTAATTTGTCACTTTTAAAGTGACCGACTCTATTGGCTTATGCTCCGTCTTTCCTGAAATTTGTGAAGGTAAGCAGGAGTGTGAAGTACAACAAATCGATATTTTTTGGCTGCTGCCTTAATGAAAAGAGGACTGTAGTATCCGTTATAATCATTAGGAAATAAACTGGGCCAAATTCATCCTGATATGTGAGCAGACTGGACTCCAAGGAAGCCTGTCTTTTCAGCACGGTTCTCTTCACATATATTGTATTTATCCTTCTGCCCTAGTCCTTACTGACTGTGTCATTCCATATTCCCTGGYGTGGTGACTTTATTCTCATGATGCTACATATAGGCAGCATCCAAGTCCACAGGCTTGGCTTTTGGGTGTGGATGCAACTACAGGCCATTCAGCATGTAGGTCTGAACGGGCCTGCTGGAAGTGAGAATGGGAATCTCTCCGTATSTACCAAGATGGATCTGTCCACACAGGATGTACGTGTGAATCCTGGCACGGAGGCACGTGCTGTCCGTGTGAGTGAAGCTGGGATTCCCATCCCACACTGCTTCTYGTTTGCTTGTGTTGAAGGGTTATCATTGATGCATTGCAGTATTCACGGTTAGCTAATCTCGTTCATATATGGTAGTAACTAGAAGCAGAGTGAGAGCTTGCCAAATAAAAGTGCATTTTACATATGCTCTGTCCCAGAGCCGTGCGAATCATGTCATGTCTGTGGATTTACTTTCCTTTACCAGGTGGTGGAGCCAGTACAAATCTGTAAATCAATAAAAACTGCACAAGAAAAGGACACAGTTCCTGACTATCCCATCSCCAGCTCTGCTTTCCATATAGCACTTTAGTCAGCAGATTGAATTTCTCTTGGTCTTACAACTCACTTGATCATTCATAGTTAGAAGACTAGTTGAAGGCTTTTTAGGGAAAACTTGTTTTTCCAAGAGACAGAGCTCTTATTTGTTGACTGCTGCCTTTCAAGAGAGGATTCAGTAGACCCCAGCCTAGGTGTACAGCTCAAATTCATTGGTATTCCACCTTTATTGTCTTATTGACTGCTGGTATAAAGGTCCCAAGTTTGTCAGGTAAGATCCCTGCATGGAGGGAGCTGTGATATGATCTGTGATTTCACTATTAATCATTCTTTTTTTCCTTCAATCTCCTATGCAGAACTGCTTTTCTTTGCATCTCTGCCATTATCTTGGACTCTTGAAATGTAACCTATTTAACAAAATATAGTTATCTACAGTCAGTGCTTGTCACTGCAGGCTTTCCTTGTAGTCGACAGAGAGAAATGGGCTCTTGTGAAGCACAATTCATCTTACCCTAAAGTAAAACTGTGACACAAGTTGAATGAATCGTGCTTAAATAAATGTGCAKTTCTCTCTTGACTCTAAAGGGGTAACTAGCTCAGAGGCAGATGTCTACACTAGTTTTGCGTGGATATAATGTATTCCTGTTAACTACAGACCGTATATAAGCAAGATTACATACTGTCAGTTTTACGTGCCAGATAATATGTGATGATTCCTCTCTACCATTTTGATGTTTTTGGCCTATCTCTTAATGGGAAGACTAAACCTAAATGTACTTTTGGAAATAAGAGATGGAGAGAAGGCTTTTAAGAGCATGAGAGTTGTGCAACCGATATTTTAGGATTTTTGATTTTTTGAGAATATACTGCTGCCCAGGAGCATGACATGCTCTCTTCCATCTATAGAAAGTCATCAAGATCTGACTTTTTGATCTTACTTGCTAAGTGGGTGATAACCTTCCCTTTATGCAGTTTTGGGCTGTGGAGAAACTCATGCCCTATCTACATCTCTGATATCACTCCCCACCTGACAGATTGCTCCATTAATTTCTCTTTCAGTCCAGTCTATAATGAATACTGTCTCCTTGCCAATCTGCTAATCTGAGTTTCCTTAGAAGACGACTGTGCAGAAACTCTCTCCATTTCTGGAATGCTGTAGCACAAGATGAGCAGAGAGCCGTTCACATTTTTGTGGGATGACAGCACGCTCTGAGGGGCCGTGTTGGTGATAGCTGTAGCAGATATATCCAGTTTTTGGAAGCGGTCCTCTTCTGTTTTAAAACTTTGGATTTTCCAAGCTGTCACACGTGCAGCACTGCTAGCAATGGTGGAATTTTGCTGTCTCAGCAGCTAGTGATGTCTCCCCAAAATCTGTATGGACAGGATGTGCTGCGGTGCTGAGCTGCAGTTGGGTGACTCGTCTGAGATGATAATCCTGCCTGCTTGTGGCAGTGCCTCCTTTCTGGCTGCAGTGCAGAGTTAGAGAACTAGCTCGACTGGATTTCTGATTTCTGGAAGGGCTGAGTTAGATGAGATCAAACCTGGACGAAATGCTGATGTTCATTGTTCTCATTTTTTATGATTTGTGATTCAGCTAAACAGCATTTTTGACTCAAGCTCCAGTTGTCAGTCTAGCATATGTTTCTRCTCTTTGCACGGTTGATGTAACAGCCTGGCACTATGGAAGTTTCTATATTTACCCCTGCCATGGGTACATGGATATATCAGCAACAGGACAAGATGAGTTCTAAGGGAACAGAGAGACCACACACATCTCCTGGTACCAACATTTGGGTAAACTTGATAGGAGTCAAGAGTGGCAACACCAGAGAGTGGAAAGAGCGAGTACATCTATTTACTTTTTCAAATAATAAATGTTTTGTTGCTTTTCAGGAAAGTGTGGAAAGATTATTTACAGGCCCCACTGAAATTCAACACAAAGATAAAATGCGGTTATTAATGAAAGATTTAGGAGATCTTTAATATTTATGC